CAACAGAGCAAGAGATCCTATCTCAAAAAAAGAGATGGGCAGTACAAGTTTCTAGTAAATAGCAGCAAAAAATAGTGGAAATGGCACTCAAATATACAAAACAAAACTACAAATTATTCCATTGATTTTGTCCAACATTTAACAAAATTTAGATGATGATCGCACCTCTGTTTTAGGACACAGTGAAACAATTAATGTTTGGGGAGCAGGATGGAAAGGTGTTAAATCTTCCAACAAAATTGCCTCATAGGGCAATATCTTGATGACTTCTTGGTGGCGGTGGCGGTGGCGGTGGCATTTTTGGCTGCAGGATCACGCAGACCTTTCTGCAAAAGTGTCTGAGGGCTTCTTAATTCTCTCACGATTTCCTGCTCCTTGAAGCACCTTCCTGAATCTCTGAGAGAGCGTGTCCTGTGGAGCCAAATTCTGTAGAGCCGAGGCTTCTTCCTTTCAGGGTTTTGGGACATTTTCAGTATAGCTGTCCTTGACTCCATGAGGTCCTGACCCTCTTGGGGTGTGTGGGTGTGCGCTGGCTGGGTTCCTACCACATCCGGGGCATTTAGGATATTGCCATTCTGAGTGGGAGCTTGGCCAGGAGGGACACAGACCTGGTGGCCAGGCGCAGGGCTCTGGGGGAGGGTGCTGAGCTGGGGACCAGCTAGTTTTATATTATTTGCCATCATGAGTGTCCTGTCTTCATAGCCAGCCTTGAAACACTGGTGCTTAAACAAGGAATTCCCAGGTAGCGAGGCCCCCTGGGTGCCAGGCTTACATCTTAGCAGCTCCTGAGTCCTCATATTTGTCCCGGCCTGGGGACCTCGGCACCCACTCTTCCTCCAGTCCTTGAGGGGGTGGAGAGGAAGCTCTGCAGTCCCAAGCCACCACCCACCAAGGCCTCTCTCCCACCTGACCCTCCAGGCTGGGGCTGCCCCGACCTCGTCTGCTACACGGATTACCTCCAGACGGTCATCTGCATCCTGGAGATGTGGAACCTCCACCCCAGCACGCTCACCCTTACCTGGTAAGTGGCCGGGCCTCGCCAGTCCCTGGGGATGCAACTCACGGTGCCTGCTCAGTGATTCCCCCAGGAGGATGCTATGCACTGAGGACCACTGTGCCCGCCTTTCAGACAACTACTCAGGGCTCACAGGACTTGAAAAGTCAGGAGCCCGCAGGGTTGGTCTATCCACCAGCTTCAAAGGCTACTATCTCGCCCACACAGGTTGGCCATGGTTTTGAGACCCCGGGATGGCCGGTCTCCCGCATGATTTTTCAAGCACTTAGTAGGTGCCAGGCCCCCAGCTCAGTGATTCCCCCAGGAGGACGCTATGCACTCCCTGCATAGTTGGGAGTGAGTGGTCACTCCCAACTCTCACAATGATTACTCCCATTTTACAGATGAGGACATTGAGGTTCAGAGAGGTTAAGCAACTTGCCCAAGGGCACAGAGCCTGTGAATGCTGGAGCTGGCATTCAAATTCAGACTTTCCAACTCCAAAGTCCATGGGTCCCTTTTAGACCCTATGCAGCTCAGGATAAAGAAGAGCTTCCGTTATCCATCAGCTCATTCATTCATTCAAAACCATTTATAGGCCAGGTGCAGTGGCTCATGCTTCTAACCCCAGCACTTTGGGAGGCCAAGGAAGGAGGATAACTTGAGCCCAGGAGTTTGAGACCAGCCTGGGCAACATCACAAAACCCTGTCTCTACAAAAAATAAATCAGTCAGGTGTGGTGGCACAATTGTGTAGTCTCAGCTACTTGAGAGTCTAAGGCAGGAGGACCAAGCTCAGGAGGTCGAGGCTGCAGTGAGCTATGATCACGCCACTGCACTCCAGCCTGGACAACAGAACAAGATCCCAACTCACAAAACAAAACAAAACAAAACACGTGTGAAGTTCCTGCCAGACACTGTAGCAGGCACTAGGGATTCAGCAGAGCGAGACTGACTGGGCCCCAGATGCCTTGGAATTGACATACCACAGTGGGGCGGTGGCTGGGGGAGACAGACGCACAAAACAACCAACAAGATGCTTTCTCTTTTTTTCTTCTTTT